CATGAAAAGATGACCGTCAGGGATGATGATCAGCTCGTCGTGGATCAGCTGGTCCAGTACTGGGGAAACTAGTCTATAGAAGAGCATATCAAGAGGCTCCATGTCATCGTCTCCTTCGTCGGGAATACATCTGTCCCATCTGTCAACCTTTTGAAAAACTTTAAGAGCAGTTTCACTGAGATGCGAGGGGTTTGTCGAGGGTGCACACTCCAGGTCTTCATGCTCTAGTATGTTCATCGATCTGTCTTCGCATTTCATTCCTTTGCCTTCTCTAACATTCAGCTGCTGGAAACAGTTGTCAACGAGATATTGAAAATATGATCCAGCTTCAGCATTTTTTCTCCCATCTTCAGATAGGCTCGACATTATTGTTGCCAAAGCTTCGCGGTTGTCTATTTCATCGTAAAAGAAGGTAGATGGGTTTCGGGATGATATGACCCAGCTATGATAAGTTAGCTTGTTATAATGAAGATTGTAAAAAAGAATGGAGACGTCTCGATGAGAGCAAATTGTCTTGACATCTGCAAGTTCMACGACTTGTTTTGATTCTGTTTTCTCAGTTGTGTGGTATTTAAGGAACAAGAGATCTTTCAAAGCACGTGCTCGCCCATGTTCACACACTAAGAGAGCTTCTTCGCTTTGTCTTCTTTTGATGTAGACTTGGCTGAGGAACTTGTAGGCTCTGATAAATGTATCGACAAATGAAACCTTGAATTGGTCATTGTCTTTTAAATCATCAAACACTTTCTCGTAGCATTGTATGCTCTTCTCCAGGTGTTCTTTTGACTTGCTGAGGTCTTTTACGCTCGATTCTTGCTGATATCCAAGACCTGAAATAGATTTAGGATTACTTTAGAATTAGACTTACTAATTTTAACCTTAACTTTATCACTTTAACATTAGATTTTAGTCAGGAAGTAGTTTTGATACTTAGATGATACCTCGATCAACGCGTCTTAGAACAACAATCGTCAATATATCACTGAATCGTTGCAGCATATAGAGTATACTAATTGAATTTAGTCAGTGATAATTCTGATTTTAGTAGAGTGCACACAATATGTCTGT